TTTGAGCTTAATTATTCATTGTCAAATATCAAAGTGTTAGTACCTTTACATTTTTGTCTATGAAATCAAGTATTTGATCTTCCTCCGAAATTTGGCTCTTAAATTCTTGAATGTGTAACTTCGATCTTGACCTCTTTCTTTAGTATCATCTCTCATGTTCTTGACCTTGATCTTTATTCGTCTCAAATGATTTGACTTGAGTTCTTAGTGCTTGATGAATTTTAATATTGAACTATCACCACTCAAAATAAATTGTTAGAATAATATTAATCTTGTTTGTTATGATCAAAATATTGAGGATGAAGTTAACCATAAATCAACAAATTCCTCTTCCCCAAGGTTGTCTTCATAATCACAGTACAGCATAAGCACACAATTGAAATCGAAATGCGTCATTCTACTGCTTAACTGGATTGATAATTTCCTGAGTACTTTATATAAAGTAGAAGAAGAAAAAACTCAAACTTTGTTGTTGGCAAACCATTTTTAAGCACGAAAGAGATGGATTATACATTTCCTTTTATAGAAGTTCCCCCCATGATACACTTTCAGCATAGAAATGATGTGCTCATAGAAGTACATGAATTAAAAAAAATGAAGAAAAAAAATGATTCTTGAAGCTATTTATGGTAAGTCTAGCAGTGAGATGTTATGCTTTATCAAGAATCTTGGGAAAAGTTGAATGAAGTCCAACTAATATGAGGGTTGGTGATAAGTGTGATTTTGCACACTTATTTAGGTCACAAACATGACTTAATTATGAATAAAATGATTGAATTGTGACTTAATTTCATTATATGTGTGAATTGTAGGTAACACCGATGGACATGGTGAAATACACGAAAAAAGACACGAAAAAGGATTAAAATGACACAAAGTGAAAATTCAAGGACCAAGATGCAATTACTCAAAAGTTAACCCGAAGAACTAATCAAGAAATTGAGAGTGCCAAATATGAATTGATGACATTTTGGGATGATGGAATATGAAGAATGAAGAAAAGATGTAAAAAAGTGGAAGAATAAAGTGAAGGGACCAAATTGCAGGAAATTAAAGATAAATTCTACCATGCGGTCGCATGGTAGAAAAGTCGTGCGGCCGCACGAAGTGTTGCAGGGATTAAAGATGAAAAAAGAAGATAACCATGTGACAGCATGGATTAAAATCATGCGGTCGCATGGTACAAATTCGGCGGGAAAATTTTCTTTCCTTATACGATTGAAACACCTTTGGTAACCTAATTTTCCATAGGATATAAATACCAAAAACATTCCAGAGACGTCGAGAACATAATTGGAGGTTGAGAAACAATTCTTGAAGAGGATTTGAGCGTAAGAATAAAGATTGACACGAAGAACTTCAAGATTTATCCAACTCAGTGATGTCTTATATACAAACTTTGATGTATTTTGTTATTTTGAGCATGCTAGGCTAGATTTATTTATGCTAGGAGATCAATGAACCATGTGATTTGAATTTTAATACTCTAGTTTTGCAATTTGATGTAAGACACAATTTCTATTATGTTGAATGATTTATATGCAATTAAATATTTTCGCAATTAAGAGCTCGTAATTGTGTGAATTTAAGTGATTTATTCTTTCATTCGAGAGAATTGGAATAGATTTGATATAGTATAAATCATCGTAGGGTCCGATAGTAGATAGAAACATACCGCTATGTTTTATGTGAATCTTTAAATGTTCATAAAATTTCATGCATTTTTACATATGCTCTTGTCATAGAAATATAGACCAGTGGTGTATAGAAATAGGTTTGATACATCTCAAGAGAGAGTATTGAATAGACTTAGGAACATTGATTCATCAAAATCGAAATGTGTTGTCATATTGTGAAACTAGGGTTTAAAGTGATAATTGCATGGGAATTCGTGATCCTAGCGTATTTCATTCCCAATAATTATAACAAGTGCGTTCTCAACTTTTAGATTTCATTCTCGAGTTTAATTTATTGTTTTGCGTATTAATTTCAATTTAATCATGAAAAAAAATTTGCATAATTGAGGTTCAATTAGGTTTACATCCACTTTGGTAATTTAGTTTCGGTTAAGGCTAAGGTAGATAAAATTTGAACTAATCAATCTCCGTGGGACGATATTCGGACTCATTGAATCCACTTTATTACTTGTTAATGAATCGTACACTTGCGGTGGTTTAAAATCGAAAGAAATAATTTCGCGAACAAGTTTTTGGCGCCGCTGCCGGGGATTGAGTTTAGTTTAATTTTATCTCTCGAGGCACTAATTCAAACTTAATTTTTATTTTACTAGCGTAATTTTGTTTTTCTTTTTATTTTTATTTTAGGTTATTATCCTTTATTTGTGTTTTAGTTAATTATAATGTCTGAATCTCAGTGCTCGTACTAGTTTTAATTCTCAGATTTGCATGTCACGATTGCCTGGAGGAGAATTAATTCCAGCTAATCCTGAAATTGAGCGCACCTTTCATCGACGACAAAGAGATCACTGCGAAGCACAAGTACAAATGGCTAACGAATTAAACAATCATATTATTCAAGCTAACGAAGGAGAGGCAGTGGATGAAGGAAATGATATTCTGGGGGACTTCTTGACTCCTCAAGTTATTCAAAGCCAATCCAGCATTGTATATCCACCGTTCGGGCAACCCAACTTTCAATTGAAGACCAATGTAATACAGCTGTTTCAAAATGGACACCAATTCTATGGTAAAGCCGAGGAGAATCCACACACACACGTATCTCGATTTCTAGATATTTGTCAACATTTCAGATACCAAGGGATTTCGGATGACGCTATTAGGTTGAGGCTTTTTCCACATACGTTACCAGACAGAGCACTTGAATGATTGGATTCACTCCCGGTTGCAAGTATCACTACATGGAATGAGCTGGCACACAAATTCTGCACAAAGTTCTTCTCCCCAGCCAAGATTGCAAAGTTGAGACATGATAAATCAGTATTCAATCAAGAAGAGAATGAATCATTTGATGAAGCCTGGAACAGATTTAAAAACATGCTCCGGAAATGCTCTCAGCATGGGTTCGATAAAAAGACCCAGATTCGATTCTTCTACACAGGATTACTTCCATACCATAAGAGCACAATGGATTCAGCATCAGATGACTCAATATCCACAAGAACAGTTGATGGGGCATTGGAATTATTTGAGCGAATGGCTACTACATCAGCCATGTGGTCTTCTGAGAGGGCGATCCCAAAGAAAACTCCGGGTGTCTACGAGATGGACGCTTATTCAGTAATATCTACAAAAATTGACTCTCTGTATCACAAAGTGAAAAGCATATCACAAGCTAAGAAGAGCAATTGTGAGGAATGTGGAGCCGAGCACAAAACATCAGATTGCCTAATACTTATGCAAGAAATTGAGCAAGTAGATTACGCACAGTGGGGACAACGCCAGCAACACAATCAATATGGCGAGACTTTCAATCCCAGCTGGAAGAAGCATCCCAGCTTCTCTTGGAGCAACCAGAATCAGAATAAGCCACAGGGGCAATTTCAACAACAAGAGAAGAGGCCTCAATTGGAAGATATGATAGGAAAATTCATGGAGAAGGTCGAAGCTACACTTCAAAATCAAAATGCAGCCATCAAAAATTTGGAAACTCAGATGGGACAGCTAGCCATCGCATTGACTGGCAGAACACCAGGTAACTTACCAAGTAATACAAAAATCAATCCTAAAGAGCAAGCCAAGGCCATTACAACTCGAAGTGGAATGCAATTACCTGAAATCCATGTCAAGAGACCGGGTGTGATTGGAGAAACATCTTCCTCCGTTGAAGAAGAGACTGTTGTAAAGGAATCAAGTTCAAAGGAAAATTCAAAAGAATCACAGGATAAGGCCAAAGTCACAGTCAACCCCTACGAGCCTCCGATTCCCTTTCCACAGAGCTTGAAGAAGCAAAAAGTGGAGCAACAATACAAAAAATTTCTAGAAATCTTCAAAAAGCTTCATATCAACATCCCACTAGCTGATGCACTGTTCCAGATGCCTAGTTACGCGAAATTTCTGAAGTATATCATATCAAATAAATGCAATCTAGAAGATCATGATACAGTTATGCTTACGGAGGAATGTAGTGCCAGAATCTAGAATAAGCTTCCACCAAAACTAAAAGATCCAGGGAGTTTTACTGTTCATTGCACAATCGGTGAAGTATATTTTGATAAAGCATTATGTGACCTCGGTGCAAGTATTAATTTACTGCCTTTGTCTGTTTTCAGGAAACTCGGTTTGGGAGAAGCTAAAGCAACCACTGTGACACTTCAGCTGGCTGACAGGTCACTGACATATCCCAGAGGAATAATTGAAGATGTGCTTATCAAGGTTGAGAAGTTCATATTTCCAGCGGATTTTCTTATCCTGGACATGGAAGAGGACAAAGACGTCTCATTGATACTTAGCAGACCATTTTTGGTAACAGGGAGAGCGTTAATTGATGTTCAAAGAGGCCAGTTGATTTTAAGATTGGTAGAGGAGCAGATATCATTCAATGTATTCAAGGCAATAAAACTACCAGCAGAATCTGACAGTTGTTATCAAGTTGACATTATTGACAAGGCAGTACAAAAATCATTCTTACTACACGGTCCATCTGATGCCTATGAGGCATGTATTGTACAATCCCAATCAATCTAGTCAGAGTCTTTTGAAGTTGAAACATGTGCAAGATTTTTGGAGACCAACCCGCCATACATCCGAAAGAGGCACTTCGAGGAACTGGGGACGGGAGACACAAAGCCACTACCTTCAGTTCAGCAGCCACCAGTTCTGGAACTCAAGCAATTACCACCACATCTCATATATGCATATTTGGGGGAGTCAGATACACTTCCAATAATCATTTCGAATACAGTCAGTGCGGTGGAGGAAGAAAAACTGCTCAGGGTACTCAGAGAGAACAAGACGGCGATTGGGTGAACAATAGCTGACATTAAAGGAATCAGCCCTTCTCTGTGCATGCATAAGATTCTAATGGAGGAAAATTGTAGGCCAAGTATAGAGGGTCAGAGAAGATTAAATCCGAACATGAAGGAAGTGGTCAAGGCAGAGATATTGAAATTACTGGATGCAGGACTTATTTACCCAATTTTAAATAGTGCATGGATTAGCCCAATTCAAGTGGTACCGAAAAAAGGGGGAATCACGGTGGTGAAAAACGAGAAGAATGAATTAATTCCCACCAGAACAGTTACAGGATGGAGAGTTTGCATCGACTATCGCAAGCTCAATGCAGCCACACAAAAGGATCATTTTTTCCTCCCATTCATCGATCAGATGTTAGAAAGATTGACTGGACATTCACATTACTGTTTCCTGGATGGATACTCGGGCTATAATCAGATACCTGTCGTACCAGAAGATCAGGAGAAGACCACTTTCACCTGTCCCTATGGTACTTTTGCTTATCGTAGGATGCCTTTTGGTCTTTGTAACGCCCCAACCACATTTCAGAGGTGTATGATGGTAATATTCTCCGATATGATTTAAAGGTTTATTGAAGTTTTCATGGACGACTTCTCAGTGTTTGGGTCCTCATTCGATGAATGTTTAGAGCACCTAAATTTGGTCTTACAAAGATGCAAGGAGACTAACCTGGTTTTAAATTGGGAGAAATGCCACTTCATGGTGCAAGAAGGCATTGTACTCGGCCATCGAATCTCAGCAAAAGGAATTGAGGTGGACAAGGCAAAAATTCAAGTTATTGAGAAGGTACTACCACCTACATCAGTTAAAGGAGTTCGTAGTTTCTTGGGGCATACGGGTTTCTACAGGAGATTTATAAAAGACTTCTCGAAAGTCACTAAACCGTTATGCAATCTGCTAATGAAAGACGTCACCTTTGGGTTTAATGAAGAATGCCTCACAGCATTCAACACCTTAAAGGAGAAGCTTACGACAGCACCAGTAGTTGTGGCACCAGACTAGGAACTCCCTTTTGAATTGATGTGTGATGCAAGTGATCATGCCGTGGGTGCAGTATTGGGACAACGAAGAAACAAAATCTTTCATGAAATTTACTATGCAAGTAGAACTCTTAATGAAGCGCAAATCAACTATGCCACCACTGAAAAGGAGCTATTGGCGGTAGTATATGCATTCGACAAATTCAGGTCATATCTTGTCGGGTCTAAAGTTATAATCTACACAAATCATGCTGCATTAAAGTATCTACTCACAAAGAAGGATGCAAAGCCGAGGTTGATTCGTTGGGTGCTATTGCTGCAAGAATTTGATATCGAGATACGAGACAAGAAGGGCAGTGAGAATATAGTAGCGGATCACCTATCCTGATTGGAGCCTGGGGGGACGGATGAATTAGTGGACATCAATGAGATCTTCCCAGATGAGCAAATGTTGAGAGTAGATGAAGCACCTTGGTATGCAGATATCGTCAATTACTTGGCCAGTTCCATCCACCACCGGACTACTCGAGTTATCAAAGGAAAACGTTCTTCGCCGAATTGAAGTATTATTTTTGGGAGGACCCAATTCTCTATAGGCGGGGGGCTGATCAGATAGGAAGGAGATGCATACCTAAGGAAAAAGTACATGAGATTCTCGAGCACTGCCATTCGTCTGCTTACGCAGGGCACTTTGGGGATTCAAAAACAGCTGCAAAGATTCTACAATCAAATTTCTACTAGCGTACACTGTTTAGAGATACATTTGAATTTGTTAAGAGGTGTGACCAATGTCAACGCACTGGGAATATCTCGAGAAGGAATGAAATGTCACTGAACAACATTTTGGAAGTGGAGATATTTAATGTTTGGGGAATTAACTTCATGGGACATTTCCCCCCTTCATTCTCAAATCAGTATATCTTGGTGACAGTGGATTACGTATCAAAATGGATGGAAGCAGTTGCATTGCCAACAAATGACTCAAAGACAGTAATTGGATTCTTAAAGAAATACATTTTCACCCGATATGGTACACCGCAGGCTATAATCAGCGATGGGGGCAAGCATTTCTATAATCGCCAGTTTGAGCAGTTGCTGAATAAATATGGCGTTAAACACCATGTTTCTACTCCATATCATCCACAAACCAGTGGGCAAGTTGAGGTATCTAATCGGCAGCTGAAGAGAATACTAGAAGTCACTGTGAATTCATCTAGAAAGGATTGGTCTAAAAAGCTGGACGATGCATTATGGGCTTACAGAACAGCATTCAAGACCCCGATAGGCATGTCTCCATACCGCCTAATCTTTAGAAAAGCGTGCCATCTGCCACTAGAAGTGGAGCACCGGGCACACTGGGCGATGAAACAATTGAATATGGACTTGAGCGCCGCCGGTGAAAAGCGCCTGCTGCAACTTAATAAGTTAGATGAGTTTAGAATGGAAGCTTATGAAAATTCAAAACTTTACAAGAAACGAACAAAGAAATGGTACGACATGCATATTCAGAGGTGAGAATTTGAAGTGGGGCAGAGAGTGCTATTGTATAACTCGAGACTCAAGCTTTTCCCAGGAAAACTAAGATCAAGGTGGTCGAGTCCTTATACTGTCACGAAAGTTCTACCATATGGAGCTATACAAGTGAGCCACGAGACTAAGGGTACCTTCATTGTTAATAGGCAAAGATTGAAACACTACTAGGGTGGTGACTTCTCCAACCAGAAGTCCACCGTTCAACTCGAGATGCCAGAATGAAGCAGCTACAGAAAAGTCGAGCTATCGACTATAACCTAGCACTGGGTGGGAGGCAACCTCCTGTATCCTTTTTCATTTAATTTATTATGCTCTCTGCACTTAGATTAGGAATTATTTTTGTTTCAATTTCATTTTATATTTTCTTTATGTGGTCATCGATTATCTATACATGTTAAAAGAGTCCAAGCATTGTACATACGAGTCGGTTGAGTGGAGTAGTTTGGGAGATTGGGTGTGAAATTCACGCATTTCAAGGAAAATTTTGTTTTTCTATATATATATATATATATATATATATATTTGGCTTTGGATACTACATTTACGACCCATACACATCCCAGAATGTTTAGAAATATGTTTTTGAAAAAAAAAAAATTGGGGACGTTAAAAGCCGGGTCAATTTCTCAAGTAAAAATCATAATTTTAGTCAACAGTCGGGCTTTTTGGGGATATCATTTTTTTTTCTTACTATTAATTATTTAACAAAAAAATAAAAAATAAATTTTACTCGTGCGGTCGCACAGTGCGACTGCACTAACACTTAGCGAAACTCAAGTGACAAGAACCACTTGAACCATGCGATCGGAAGGCATAAAGCCATGCGGCCGCATGGCATAAAAAAGGCGTGGGTTTTTAACCCACGCCCGGTCCTTTTATTTCACTTCCCACTCAAATTTTTCCCAAATTTCTCTCCCGACCACACTCACCTAGGGCACGATTTGGGCTAGCATCACACAAGAATCTCATCATTGCATTGCAATAACATTGAAAGGAAATCAACTTTCCACCTCAATTCAACCCTACAAATACAAGGTACGTATTTTTACACCCCTCTCAATTCTGTTTTCGGGTTTTCATGATTGGAATTTTAATTTTGGCGATTTGAGGGAGATTAGGCTAATTCATGTGTGTATGAATTTGTTGTGATTGTGTTGTGGAAATTTTGGAATGATTCCTACATTCAATTCTTTACATTGGTAGCATCTTCACTTCATGCACACCATGTGTTTGCTTAAATGCCACAATACCCTTGTATGTGAAATTAAATGCCTTTTGCATATACATTGTTTCACCAACATGGCATTCAATGTATTTCAACGATTTCCCGATTAATTTGAACTAGATAACACCCACTTTCACATTGCACCACATAGGCACATGACTAGGTCACCGCACATCACGGCAACCTCCGTCCCCTCTTTTGCATCTTCATTTGACACACCAATCGACCTCTAATTGATTTGAAATTCGAATATGTGATACACTTCAATGAATACTTTGATATGCCCGGAGATTGTCTGGGAAAATTTTGCTAATTCTCAATGATGTCAAGGGCCGAAGGGGGGCACTCGGTCATGGTTCCATATTCTGAAATGTTGATTAGATGCACCTAATTTTTCCCCTTTTTTTTTCTTATTGGCAAATCACGTAAATTCAACTAAATATCATAGCTTGCACGTGCACACCATATTACTGCACATGCATCTAGGAAAGTTTGGGGAATTTGTGCAATGCTTATTAGCTTATTAAATTTTTCTCATTTCTTGCCTATGTTTTCCACATCGACTTAATGAGTATATTCCTACAAACTTTGCAGGATGCTTCCAAAAAGAACCGTGCGCGGGAAGGAAAAGGCAAGCTCATCCACAGGAACAGCCCGTACTCGAGAGCTCGCGGGTGAAATTCAGCGATTCCTAACTGAAATTACCGCGATACGATATGAAAATATCGTACGCCATTGGACTTTGCATGCTGAAAGACCGATTAAGCTTGATGACTTCCCGGGGTTTGAGTTGGTCAATTTAATTCAGCTCTGTAGATGGCAAAAGTTAGTACAGAGACCGTATCCACTCTATGAGATCTTATGCCGAGAGTTCTTCGCTAACTTCAACAGCGAAATTGACACGCCAGGCTCTGATCATTTCCATCAGACTTGGGTGCGGGGGAAATGGATTATGTTCTCTCCCGAGGTCATTCATGACTACTACCAGCTTACCATGAAGAATGTGGTCCCCTTCCCAATTGACTTTAACTGGAATGAGGTGGTCGAGGTTTTAATGGGACGAAAGAATGCATGGCCCCTCGACACTATCGAGTGGCATCAGATTGAGCTTACTCCTTCCATGGCCATTCTATGGCTTTTTATGTGCCACAATGTTGAGCCGATATCACACAGGACTACATTCCCAGATCAGACAGAAGGTTTCATTTACCACTTGGCTCGAGGTAACAAAATTGATCTCGCTACTCATATATACAATCAACTGCATTCATTGGGGATTTGGAGGGATCGACGCTCCACTTTGATATTCCCAAGCCTCATTAGTGGCATATGTCGGGCTGCGAGTGTTGCTCTCCTACCTAAGGAATTACCTGAAAAACCTAGCCCAATGATCAAACGAACTACATTTGACGCTCAGACAAGAGCTCGGGTAAGCATAGGAAAGAGCAGGAGAACGAGCAACGGAGGCAGCAGGCAGCACAAGGTCAAATCCCTGAAGATAAGGACCACCCACGGGCTCCAGCAGCACTAGCTGAAATGGATAATCAATTGCTGCGACAGATTTTCTCCACCACCATGGGCATTAGCAGGGACCTTCACGATTTCTTTGAAGATTTTGGCAACATGAGGACTGACTTAAGAAGCTTACAGAGGGACAATCACCTTGCATTGAACTACATCAGAGATGTTAGGGATCATGCTATAGTCATGCGACGGGAGGTTGACACCATGAATGGCCAGTTGAACATGTATGTTGGTCGGGTGGACGATATTCAGATGAGGGTAAATGAAACTTGGGAGACAATGAGAGCTATCCAGGCCGAGCAGATGCAACAGTCTACTTTGATGCGGGAAATGAATGAGATGATGCGGCAGCTCCTTGGACGACACTCCCCTCCGTCGGATGATGGTACAGTAGGACCAGTTTCCCACCACCTCATCCATTTTGATTCAAGGGAAGTACTATTTACCACATTTTGGTTTTTCATTTTCATGTATTCCTTAAAATTCTGTCTTTCATCTTTTGTTAATTTTACATTGAGGGCAATATAATAACAAAGTTTGGTTACATTGAGGACAATGTAATAACAAAGTTTGGGGAGGTGACATAATTTTAACTAAGTATCTGTATTATCTGTGTTCATCGGTATGTGTGCATAAAAAAATGTGCATTTCATTCATTTTTTGTTTTAACTCTTCTTATGCATGCTTGTGTGGGTTTGATAACCTTGCTAGCTATGATGTTAAAATTGGACTAGGTTAAA